AATACGGAGGTTCTCCAACAAGAAACTCAGCGAGGATCATGATGTACATCGCAACCTGGCTCTGGCAGAAGACTACTCAAGTTCCACAAAACGGGGAGAATATCAATATGTGTCTGGAGTGATGGGGATAGCTTACAACCCTGTCTTAGACTCAGAAGCTGAAAACGCTTGCATGAATTTTGAAGTGGCGGAATTGTTAAAGTTCTGGAAGGAGAAAATAGCTGAGATTGATCTGACGGTAGGGAAAGATCGAGCCTAGGTCTGCTACTTGAGAAGGTGCCGGAAATTATCAGTCGAACTAAGACCGGTCGAACTAAGACCGGGAAGCGGAGACGACGTGTTGTCTACGAATTTGGGGACCATTTGGAAGTTACTGAGAACATCTTGGTGCCCACATCCCTACGCGGGCCTGATCGAGGAAGTTAGGGAACGGGTGAGATTGTCGCCAACGAAGGATGAAGATTTGGGGATTTTCAACATTGTGCACAAATTGATCCTACCTCATCAAGGGGAATCGGAGGGAGCAACGAGCAAGCTGGAAAAGCTAGTAAAGAAGATGGAGCCGGGCAGCTGTCTGGACCTGGTATGTGGAGTAGAAGAGCTTTCTTGTGATGAACGGTCCTGTGTCAGAATACAATCCTTCCAGAGGGAGGATTTATCCACTTGGTTTGGAGACATCACGGAGAAGGAGAAGATCGAGGTGCAGATAATGGCTGAGTGTTACGCTAGCACCACTGTAAAGGTAGCGATGGCATTGGGATTTTTCTCGAGTATGTGCAGTTTACAATCTTTAGAGATGCTGGAGTCCGAACACCATTTGGTGCCAGCGTTAAGCGTGGAGTCTTGGCCAGGAGTGTTGCAAATGATCCAGAAGCCCATCAGGGGATGGAAGATCGGTCTTGAGGCGGAGATGGGATTTCCTGTGAGCAAGGCTTACAATTTACCACCAGAGGCCTTCAAGAGACCCCTACTTACTCATCGTAATACGATAATCACGGGTTGGAAAAAGGTAGAGTGTCTCAAGATAACATCAAAGTGAGGGAATCGATATTGGAGGAAGACTTGGCAAAGAACGTGAGCTTGAGCTTCCACAATTCTTTGTGCTTGAAAGAGAAATTGAAAGTGAAGGGTCTGCCGAATCAGACGAAAAGACTACAAGAGCAAAAGGAATGGGTGCGAGCCTACGAACAGCTGAAGGCATGGGAAGAGATCGTGATCAGTTCCGATGGTGAAGAAGAACTGGTGAGGCAAATTACGGTGTCGAGTGTGTCAGGTCCCAGTACCTCAAAGACGAGGGGCACGAACTGAACAAGGTGTTCAGGGGTTGATTCTTGAGTCGTGAGCGGGGGAAAGAAAAAGGACTTGAGTAAGAACTCAGATGAAATCTGACGGCACGGAAAAGAAGTTTTAATAAAAACAAAAGTTATTGTTATTAGTATATTATATCTACTTCATAAATCAAAATGCTGCATGACAATTTTCTGACTGGGCAAAACAAAAGAAATTTTATTGATAGCTCACAAAGTGGAATTTCAGGGTGCAGGCGTTTGCAGACTTTGATTGCTGTTTAGCGATAATGTGACTATTTTGCATGGCTGTGAATTTTGGGGAGTAGATAAAGTTAAATCTGCTGCAAGCTTCTGTAAATGACCACTGGCACTGTATCTTGAGACGCACTCAACATCTTGGGGGCTCACTGACAGACAACGATACGCGATGAGGACATCGATCTTGAGTCCGGGGAGTTTGTGCCAGTCGGTCATATTTGGAAGTTTGACCTTGAGCAATGTTTAGTCTTGATTTTGAGGTGAAATGCAATTTTTCAAAAATTCGAATTAAGCATGTCATGCTCAAGTATCTCGCGACAACTGAAAAACGGAAAAATAGGATAAAAGGATCAAAGTACAATCGCGGGAAGGTAGTGCAAAAAATAGGAGCGTGAAATTGCTTTTCGCAATTTCGCCGTATAAATCGAACGAGAGTAAAGCTGTCTCATTCTTAGAGAAAGAACAAGTCGTGACGGGAAAAAAACAAAGAAGATCGAGTGGACCAGAGTGAACCTTCGGTGGAAAGGTGGACAGCTGAAGCTGCCCAATGGTCCAAACAGAAAACTTGTGTTTTGAGTTAAAACTTATTCACTTCAAACTTCTTGAGTTATACTTGATTACCGGATTAATTCTAGAGCTGCTTATTAACTTAGTTACTCAATTCTAGAAGTCGTTTCGGAAAGTAACTATCCAATTTAATTTTCTTGAGTGTGTTTTACATTATTATGTTGAGTTAGGGAGAGTTTTAGGTTGATCTATCTAAAATGGACCAAAAGTCCACTGTCTAATAAAAAGTAACTGTATAAGTAAAGTTCCGACCCTGTTTTTAACGGCGTTCGTGTTTTTTGGGTATTTCGAGATCCAAGCATGGGGGCGTTCTTATTTTTAGAGTGGGGGGTATTTTGGTAGTAGCCTTTAAGCCAAAGTGAAACGAATTGGCTCCGACCGTTTGAGGTAGAAAAACACAAGAGATAGTGTCCCTGACTATCGAGCCAATGGTTATAGGGCCTATTTTTCATTAACCTCATGTGTGACTTAAGTAGGCGACTGTTACACGTATTTCATTCAGTACCTTATTTGTGATGAAGAAACTTAACCAACCCTCAATAAAAAAGCAAACAATCTCAAATCTTTCAAACTTGGAGAAGTCCAGTTCTCGATATAAGGATGTTTTTGGGAGGAGCAAAATTCTCCGTTTCTTCTGTCAAATCCTATAAGGCAAAAAATCAATTTTAGTTTTGTTTTAAGAAGAATAACCGTTTACTTGGCGAATAGCACAGTATGTTCCGTCAATAGTCTGTCAAAAACTAATTTTTTTTTCAAGTTAGTTTAGTTTTTTCGTGATGTGATAAAAGGATCTGACGTAAATCTTTACTTTATGATTCAACAGTCAAAGTAGAATATGCAAACTGAACAAAAGCATTTGTAGAAAATTAACTGGAAAAACAAAAAAAATATATATTAATTTTCAAATTCTTCTATAGAAAGTTTTCTAAACTTTTCTAACTTTTGATTCCAAAAATGGCACTAAGAAATTCAAAAGCTAATTTTATTTGCTTCAAGTTTAACTTTTAGGGCTTAAAATAAACATAAATAAGCTGTTGTAGCCTGCTCGATCCCTTCATTTGCACAAAGTTAAAATAAAAATTAAAAAAATTAAACAGTTTTTCTCGAATATGAGATAACTTTCCCAATTTTTTTAAAATCGTATGAATTACGACTGAAAAGGCCGCAATTCTGTATATCACTCGACCCATTCCAATGATTAAAATGTAGTATCTGATTTTGCTCGAAAAACAAAAGAAAATAAAACAAAAACAAACAAAATTAAAACACACCTGATTACAAATTTCCTCAAATATTTTAAATGGTCGGAACAAGACCCAAACCTATTTTGGATAACAATACATCCACACGCTATATCAAGAGCAGTGTGAGATATTTCTCAAATGGTAACAAATTGCTGGTATAATTTAAGTAAATCTTCTGAGCTGTATTTTTCTGTCCCGCGATAGTTAATTATCCAATTTTGGTCAAAATGGCATTTTTCAAACCCTCTACTTTAACAAAAAAATATTATAGGTGAAACTTTTTTCACTGAGCACAAGGCATCAATGCGTTTCAGAAGGAATCAAAATTTTGGTTAAAAAAACAGGCGAAATGAGTTAAAGGCTAAATTTTGCTGAAGTAAATAAAACGGAAAATTGTAAATTGGCATTTTTATTCGCCTTTAACTACACCAAACTGGTCGTAAACAGTAATTTTCAAAGTACCGTAAACTCACAAAAAATAACTGCAGTTGTAACTTCTTTTATATTTTGAGCTTAGAAATTCTTTTTGAAAAAATTCCTTTGAAAACGGTCATATGAATATATTTTTAAAAACGGTCATTTCCAAATTGCCATTTTGTGCGCTTTATAATTTCTAAGTCAGTCAAAAACTGAATGTTTCAAAGCATCATATTTTCACAAAAAACAATTGCAATTGTATTTTTTTGAAATTGCTTGAGCTCAGGGGATCAATATATTCAGACGCTTAAAAAAGTCCTTTACAAACTGTCATTTAAAAACCCGAGTACAATTTTTTGAAGTGGGGGAAAGAAGATTTAAAAGAAGATTTTGTTTGAAATGCCAACGGTTTTTTGTCTTAAACGGAACGATTACAATCAAAGATAAAATATGAGGGCGAGAGGAGTCCTTGTCTTTTGAATTAAATGAGCCGTTTAAATCTGTGAATTTTATATTCTCGCTTCTGATGTCTTTTTGATCGGTTTATTTTTCAAAATTATCAATGAAAACTATTCTTAGTATATTATTGGACCCGAGTGTAAAAGTGCTGCCCGCAAATACAAAAACAAATTGAGGAGCCAAAGTAACGACAAAAAAAACAAATTGAGGGAAAGTTAAAAGGAATACAAAGACAGCATACTGATTGGTCGAAATCAACTAAGTCGCAACTCGCTGGTTTCTAATAAAACGAAGTTATTGTCATTTATGCGTTGTCCGTAAAACTGCGAAGACGTAACCAATTTTTCTCTATGGGTTTCAATTTTAACTCAAAAATCAAACTTCACTGTTGAAAATATATTCTCGTTTTTGTCTACAGCTGATTCTCAAATCTCTGCACCCTCTTCGTTGCTATGAATAACTGTCGCCAGATCTAAGTTCAGTCGGACGTCTCAATAAAAACCGTTAAAATCCTGTCTTGTCATGTCTCGGCTTCACCTTTGTCATCAAGAGGGTTAGAAGAACCATGAACTTCATTTATTCAAGCATCAAAGAGGCAGCCCTGAAAAACGAACTCTACAGAGATGGAGAAAAAAGAAGGCACGCCACTTTTCAGGCAAAACCTACAGATGGCTTTGAAAAAAAATGAAAAAGTCAAAATGGATTTTGCCGGTTCGCTATTGAACGACCTAAATAGGGAGCCCTATTTTTTAGTGAAAATTGATAGCCTAATTGTTGTGATAAACTTATTAAATAGTTTCAGGGAGGGCAGATGGATTCGATTAGTGATGCTACTGATGCAAATGGTATTTCAATTGAGAGAAACATAGATGTGCCGGGACTGAGGTATCATGATCAGACTCCAGTATCAAAACCAACACCAAAACGACCAAATATTGTACTGAGCCCATGTGACGAAGAAAATTCAGAGGACGATGTGACTGGGAAGCTGAAGCATACCATTGAAGAGTCAATGAAGTTGTTGATACCCAGCCTTGTAGAGCAAATCAAAGCGCAACTAATGACTGCAATCAACGTCGCTGTTGAGTCCGCTATAAACAACATGAAGAAGGAAATCATCTCATCCTCCAAATTGGAAATATTATCTCAGGCGAATATCAGCTATCTTAGGACTTTGTCTGAAGCAGAAAAACTTGAATCATATAATCGACGAGATAACCTAAGAACTCTAGGAATCCCCGAGTGTTTGGAAGGGGAGAATAATCGTGAAAACTTTGATACAACAATAGCGAAGGTAGTGGAGATTTCTCATGATATTGGTGCAAAAGTGCAAGCGGTCAGATATCTCAAAACTCATCGATTGCCATCTCGTTCAAATAGAGGCAAACCAATTACCGTTCGTTTCGCCAGAAGAATCGCCAAAATCAACTTGCTGCGAAACAAAAAAAAGATGGCAGATAAAGAAGGTTTGAAAAATATAAGCGTCTTTGAAGACTTATCAAAGGCTCGTGTCAATTTCATAAAAATGATGAAGAGTGATTGCCGAATTAAATCTGCGTGGACCCGAGAAGGTGAAATCCATTTTATATGGAAGGCAGACGAGCGACTATATCGTATCGATGGACTTTATGAAGGCGGGAGTTCCTTGAAATACAGATTTCAAGATGTGATGAATTGCTTCCAAAGTGTTTTCCATGAGGCAGGAGATAAAGGAGGATCGTAAGCAATCTAGTGATGTTAAAGTCGTTAATTCAAAACCAAATATTTCACAGAATAACAGTACTTCAATTAAAAAAACTGAAAATTCCAAAGTTTCGGTGCTACATTTAACAATAAGATCTTTAAAACTGCACTTTGACAAATTGGAAGCACTTATTCTAAGACTTGAGTCTCCACCTGATATAATTTGTATAACGGAAACTTGGTTAACAAAAAATGATCCAACTGAAAGCTGGTTAATCAATGGTTATAATCAGTATTTTACAAAAAATCGCGAAACACCTGGTGGTGGTGTAATGATCCAAGCAAGAAACACATGCTGCTTGCTGAATCAACGGGATTCATTTTCAGAAGAAAGCCTAATAGTTGATATCTCAAAAATGGCTATAAAATCTCATTATGTGTGGTTTATAACCCACCAAAATCAAACAAAATGCAATTCATTGATAGGCTTGATGAGTTTTTGGAAAACTCAAAAATTGCAAATCATCCGTTCATTCTTTGTGGTGATCTTAACATTGATATAATACCTGATAACTTACTGAGCAAAAATTATTTAAATTGTATTCATTCAAATGGTTTTTCGATAAATGGTCGTGAACCAACTCGCGTTACAGCTGCCTCTTCAACTTGTTTGGGTCATTTCATTTTCGATAATTTAACTGAACCTCATTCAATGGTACTAAATAGTGAACATTTATCAGATCATTATCCAATACACTTGGAATGGGTCATAAAGTGTCAAATTGTTAATAATGAAATTCCGTTTCGCGATACATCATTCCTAAAAAGTCGGAGCCAAGTTGAAGAAATTTTAAAAATTGCGGAAAGTAAATTGGCCTCATATAAAATAGTAATTTTTGAAATGAATGATGCAGATGCAGCTTCCAATTTGTTCGCAAAATCTTTCGAAGAGGTATTGAATATATTTGCACCATTAAAAACCAAGAAAAATTTGGTCACAAAGCAACCTGCCTGGTACACAAATAAACTTAAAAACCTTAAGACAAAGCGAAATATTGCACACAGAAAATGCTTCAAACGTTCAGAAGTTTAAGAGATCGTTTTGACAAAGAAATAAAATTATCTAAAAAAAATTATTATTGGAATAAATTAAAAAACTGTATAGGAGACTCAAGGCAAACATATAAAATTTTAAACGATATCAGTGGTAAAAGTAACAAAAACAGCAAGATTCTTCTATTGCAATCATGCATTGATGAAAACGATAATGCAACAGAAAGAGATGTTGCTGATAAATTTAACTATTTTTTCACCAATGTTGGAAAAGGACTTCAAAATGATGTCCCTAATGTTGATAGGTTTAACGTTGAATATGTTCCATATTCCATGCTTCTGAAAAAAAAAAATTCGAAAAAGAAGTTTTTAAAGTCCTAAATGACCTAGATAATAAAAGCTCGTCCGGTGATGATAACATCAGTAACATTATTGTGAAAACTTCAGCGAAGGTCGTGGCACCATATCTAAGCTTCTTAATAAACTTATCATTCACAAAAGGCGTGTTTCCTAAAGAACTTTGTAAAGCAAAAGTACTGCCGCTTCATAAAGATGGATCAAAACTTGGTGAGAACAATTATAGACCAATTTCACTTTTAATTGTTTGGAGTAAAATCTATGAGCGCATTATGTATAACCGTATTTACTCTTATTTAGAGAATTTTTTTCTCTTTCATGCAAAACAATTTGGTTTTCGTAATAAGCATAGCACAATTGATGCACTTGCTGAACTTACCGAAAGAATTAGAATGTATCCTTCTTCGAATGAAATTTTTAGTTTTTTCCTTGACTTGAAGAAAGCTTTTGACACTATTGACCATAATATTTTGCTATACAAATTGAATATGCATGGGTTTAGGGGTATCTGTTTAAAATGGTTGAGCTCATATCTCAGTAATCGCATACAGCGAGTTGTAGTAAATGGTGTTTCATCTAGCTGGAGTAAAACAGAATGTGGTGTACCACAAGGCTCAATTTTAGGTCCCTTGCTTTTTCTATTATATATAAATGACCTCCCTAAAGCATGCGAAACATCGGAAGTTTTGCTATTCAAAGACGATACGAATCTAACATCAATAGGTTGTCAAATAATTTTACGTTCAAAAAGACATGACGTCTTTAAATAACTGGCTACATGCAAATAAATTGGTGAGTAACCTATCCAAAACAGTTCAATTGAAAGTAAAATTAAGTGCTTCCAACCAATTATTTCACTTAAACTCTTGCTCGATAAATACGAAACCTGTTTGTAAATATGTAGGCATTTACATAGACTCCAAATTTTCTTTTAAAAGTCATATCGATTTCGTCAAAAAGAAACTTAGTACACAATGCGGTATAGTTTCAAAGCTACGGCACTAGGTGCCGAGATCTCAAATGATCGAATACTACAGTAGCAATGTCCTTCCCATTCTCCAGTATGGCATTTTAATTTATGGATGCTGCAGCTATTCGCAGCTGGAACAACTTTATGTTTTACAAAAGAAAATCCTCAAATTCATTTTTTTCAGAAAACGTCGAGATCGTAGTTATGATATTTTTGAAAAATATAGTTTGTTAACCGTTTATGAGTATCATCTCTATGAGCTATTAAAATTTGTTCTTAAATCACTTATTGGAGTTCATAATGATAGCTTTCTGAATGATTTATTTGTTTTTCAAAATGCAAAAAAAAGATACTAGAAATTCTGATAGCAGCCTTCTGTTCGAACCATTTAGTAAACGCAAAATTGAGCGCTTCTCGATTCGATATCGCGCTTGTAAACTTTTTAATAAGCTGCGGGTTCTGAATTTGATACCTGCACACGTCAAAAGTTGTTCTTTTTCAGAAATTTCGGCAATTTACCATTCTTTGAAAATATACCTGGTACAAAACCATGAATTAGTGAAACATATATTTGGCTTATAAAAAAAACCGTTGGTTGCATGCTACAGGACAACCAACTATATGTCAGCTTTTTCGTGTAACAAAATGACCTCCCAAATCTTTCTAGTTTTCGAGATATTAAGGTTTTTTGATTTTTTTTGGATTTTTCTCACTAATTTTTTTTTTGAAAAACATGGAAAAAAAAAATTATACATATAATATTACAGCGCCCTGGAACTATTGTTAAGTTTGGTACTAATTCAATAGCTATTTGATGTCAACATAAATTTATAAATAGATATATACATTTTTCTTTTCACGAGCTGTAGCTTTTGTATTTAAATAAAAATATATTTGCTCGTATTGTTTAATTTGATTTGTTTCATTAGAGATTTTTAATTTGAATAGAAGAGTAGACTTTTAGTGGACCAACGGGTCCCGTTGTCTATCCGTTCCTGCTTTAAATGTGGTAAATTTAAGTATGCTGATATATTGTTTATAAAAAGAAAAATATATTCTTTCTTTCTTTCTCGATAAGTGGTCAAAACTCTATCAGCAAAAGCAATGTCAAAAACAACGATAGACAGCGATCAAATTTATGCAAAAGTAAATATCAAATAACTAAACAATCGGGAAAATTAGATCAGAAAACGTTTCGAGCAAAAAAAAAATTTCAAACGTTTGGTAAAACAAATCAGATTAAACTCCGTTTCGCGCCAGGAGATGATCAAAATCTAGAGGGTTGTCTAAAAACGGTTCAAACACCTAAACGAAGGCTTGCAGTAATGCGAGTTCACTCAAGAGGCACAACGTTCAAAATAGCATCGGAGGTAGCCAAAATAGTTTAAAAAAAATTCTAAAACATCACACGGATTAACAAAGAAAATTATCAAATAAAGCACATTTAGAATGAAAACTGAATACCGCCTTATCAAACATAGCGACGACATGTTCGCCTAAAAACATGAATTAGGAAAACTCAAAAACGATTGTTTATTAAAGAAATCTGATGCACCCATCCTTGTCAGCAAAGCTTACAAACAATGTGCAACAATGGTCGCAAGACAAAGAGGTGACCATAAAAAGAAGACTCACAGAAAAAATACACGAAACAATCTAAAACTCTACACCGTTCAATAAAAATGATGGAAAAACAATGAGAACGAGACTTTCAATAAACAAAAACAAATTGAAATAGATAGAACAAGCTGCATCAAAATGGTACGCGTGGACACAAAAAAAAAGATCCAACAATTTTGTACACAAATACAAAATAACAGACAGTAAAATACTTACTTACAGACAGCATAACACCCAATATTTATGGAGAATGAAAAAACTAGAAACAGCTATTTAGATAGAAAAACAAGAAGAAACGCCAAAAATTGCTCAGAAATTTGAAAAACGCAGACAAAAGGGCAGAGAAAAAACCATAGACAAACCCCAGACCAAATACTGAGCTGGAGGAAAGCTACCTGCGAGAATCTCATTAAAAGGCAATCAGTTTAGGAGACCAGTTAGGCCAGTGAAGAAAAATTGACTGAAAGTAACATTTGAAACGATCTCAGAGTTAGAGGCCTCAACGAAGGATGACTAGTCATCAAATTTGGAAACAACCGCGCCATTGCCAAAAAGAGTCCACACAAAGAGGATGCCGATACAGTCAATCGATATGCAAGACTGATGAAATCTTCGTTCATGAAGACGTCGATTCACCTGCAAACAACATGAGGAAACAAAGCACTCAAAGCAATCACCAACGAAATTGATCGCAACAAAAAGTTGCCAAGTTTCAAGCGTGAGTGAAAATTCTTGATACAATAAAGGCGCAGGAAAAAAGCTAGAATTAGAACATTATCATACGCTTCCGAATAACCAACTTGATCTAATGAGTCTCTTCGAAAAACAATTTTTGGCTTAAATCAGCAGAATCTAGAGAAATTGCGATAATATGCGACCATTTGATGAAGCTTTTGCAATCTACTTTGACTTAAAAAACCCTATGTTGCAAAAACTCCTCTGGGATTTGAATTTTTATCTCTGAATTAACATTTGCGGAATTAGTTTTTGGTGTACAGTTGTTCTCCATTTCAGAGTGATTTGCAATAAATTGAGGTTCATGCGACCAAAAACTATATACTTAAATGTTACTTGCTGCTAAAATTGGGGGTAACTTTTGATTTATAATTCAATGTATAATTTATATTCAAATGGTCGGTCAGAATACTTGAAGGCATCAGTACGAGAAATGTACAGAATGCTTCACGTAAGGAGGGGTAGAGAAGATTCGTTGTCGAAGAGCTGTTTCTCTTAATGTGTTTCAAGAGTTTTTTCTTACATCGCCTGGCAATCCATTTGGAATCAAGATTCAGCAGAAAGCTATCATTAACTCCCGCATGGCAAACTCGATCCAATGAGTCTCTTCGAAAAAAATCTTTGGCCAAAATTAGCATCATCAAGAGAAACTGCGATAACCCAAAATTGCAAAACTTTGCTGGTCCTTGAATTATTGTCTCATAACAAACATATGTGGAAAAAAATATTGCTCAGTTGTTCTCCATTTCAGAGTGGGGGTAACTTTTGATAACGTGTGTAAGTTTTAGCGTCGAAACGCTTAAAACAGACGTTTTCATACCAAGACGTATACTTTTCTGAGCTTGAATTGAATTCGAGCTTGCTGCTGTATCATCTTTCGCCCAAACGAGCTATAGGACAGCGGCTACGAGGAAGTTAAGACCAGCGTCATATAGGAGCAGAGACCATTTGCTGCTTGAATTGACCTCTGGCCGAAATATCAGGCTGAATACGCCAATCTCTCAGTGTCTGACATTTATGGCTTGAAATTAGCTTGAAAGTTTCGAGTTGTTGATATTCTTTTAATCTAAGGTGCTCCAAATTAATGGGCAGGGCAGTCTTCCATCTCAAAAGATATTGTTACTTATGTACATTGTTCCCAATTACCCAATTATTCTAAGCCAGAAAGGAGGTTTAGCTTTGTGTTGCACCTAACATTTCCATGCTCCTTTTACAGATAATAGTGTCGAAACTCATCAAAGAAAAGTTAGTTCATCAATGCATATATTTGCAACGTGTTCAAATCTGATTGACAAGTTAACCCAGACCAATTTTTCACAAGTTAAAACATTTCTAATGACCGTACGGCTACTATTTTGAAGGGACCAAAAATTAAACAATACATGAGCACCGAAAAAATAATCAGTATCCTTCGGCCCAAAATTTTTTCAGAGGGGATCTCTTGAGTGATAAGGGAACCAATTTTTGAAAGAGAATGACAACCGCCTTCAACGCCATCCCTTGTACCACCAACTGAAGCAACTTTTTGTGATTCTGACGCAAAATTGTGTTCTTTTTGAAAATGGCGGAGCTTTTTCGTATACAAACACAGAATTTTAAGAGACAGATATTAGTTGATGTAATATAGAAATCACATAAAACCACAATTATGTTCAAAAATTGATTGACAGAAGGAACCAAATTCGAGTTTAGACAAATAAGCATCATTTAATTATGTAGCGACTGACAATTAACAGACAAATACTTGAAAGCAAAAACTTGAAGAAAGATTTATAATCAAAAACTACAAGTTTAAACACAAAAGCTTCATTGATGCTAACAATTAATAGACTAAAATTTACTAAATACGAAAAACGTATTGGCATTGAAGATTAAAAACTCAATCATGAAACTAACAATAATTTTCGCCCCAATGTTAATTATTCAGATAATCGCGGGTGATATTAACAACACCAATGGCGTCAATGATGAAAACGCTATTTATGACCATCTGAAAACCGTTCTGCCGAAGTTTTCGCCTCCGAAAGACCTCTTGAACAACAGTGTTTTTGTATACCTGGATTTGTATCAGATTTTGAGCGTGAACGAACAAAATGGTTATATGACTGTTAAGTTATGGGTATACTTTTACTATTATTCGAAGAGTGCCATTTGGAATGCAACTGAGAATGGAGATTTGAAAGTGCTGCTTTTTCCTCAAGACACCTTTTGGACGCCAGATGTAGGTTAGTAAAACGCCTCGCTTATATCATCATTCTTGTAATCATACTTGCTATATCATTCTAGTCACACCACCTCCTTAATCCACTACAGCGTCTAATGAAGGCTTATCTTTTGTCAATTTTTATGCCTCATCTAATCAATGCTCAATGTTTATTCTAATACCATATTTAGTCGCAAAGGCATTTAGTTTTTTTAGATGCACCAAGTCAAGTTTTCTTACTTTTCTACGACACAAAGTCACTGGGTAGCAAGTAGTTTTATTAGTAAGGATCCCAAGTAGTTTTTTAGGATAAAAACTGGAACAATTCTTTTTCTTTTTTTCGCGAGCTTTCCTTTAACATCATTATATCGGTATTTAATTTTTTTTTAAAAAAGCAGATCCATATGGTCGTCCAAAAACTGTCCAAAAGTTTATTTAAAAAATCGGAACTCTTTTATCCATTTCACTAAAAAAAAACTCTCTTAGCCATCCAAGGGCATTTAATAACAGAGCGAGAAACGATTGACTTGGTCAATCTGAAAAAATGCTTTTGTAATTTATCTTTGTTAGTTAATAAGGTTTTGAATCAATTATCGAGCGATGATTATAGACCTTAAATGGACAGAAAGATGCGCTTTGCGATTAAAAGGTTGATGTAGTGGATTTAGGTAGTGGGTGGCTACTTATCCACACACCCCTTACCAAATCCCTTCAGGAAATTCTAGATCCTCTCTTTAAAAAAATACGTCCCTGCAATTTGCGTTTTTTCTATAGTTATTGCCAAATTGCTGCCAATATTGGTGACATTGAGCAGTTTAATCGGTCAAAAACTCAATCAACTTAGGTCATTTAATTTTTTGGAAACCTTTTTTACGTGTGGAAATCAGTAATAAGATGAAATTCGACGTCAAAATAAGCAGTTTTACGTTAATTAATTTCGTTCAAATTTGTTGATCGACAGTTTATTGTCAACAATTTGGCGTTAATTTAATAAAGCTGATTGTCACAATAATTTTTAGTGATCATGGACGCAATCGAGACTAAATACGAGCCATTCACCAGACAAGCTGTTCGAGGAGACATCGGGTCTATAGTCAGTTGGTCTTCAGCGGTTACAGTCATGATTTCCTGCCAGTTCGATGTCTCCCTCTTTCCATACGATGAACAAAACTGTGTTGTGGGGTTTGAGTCCTGGATTTTAGATCGCGATTCTTACGTTTTGGGTAACGTTTATGTTGTATGTTCTTTTTGGTCCGATCCAAACTCCCTTGAAAGGGCTGAGAATATACTTTGAAATATGATTGATTTTTCTCGGCCGAGCTTAGGTACCTAAACTAAAACTCGTTGTTGGTCGAGTTTGACATCAGATTTGAGACTTGTAAGCGAATTCGGAGACCAATTAAAATTTTTAAAAAATGTCTTAATGTCGAGATAGATAAACTGATACGCATTTCGACTTTTCAGACTCAATATTAGCAAAGACTTAGGTTTTTACAATTCAGCGATCAACTCTTTTTCAATTACAGAAAACAAGTAGATAATAAATAAAGTATAAAAGCTATTGTGTTCGGGTTTTTCGGCTATTGATATATACACTCCGAAAAAACGTTAAAAAATGGCAGTTTTTATTACCTTTTGTCCAATTTTGCTGAAAAAATTCTTGTTGGAATATTACAGAGCGATCATTTCCTTCAATTACTACCAAAGATTAAAAGACTGCTCGTATCAGAGCGAAGCCCTGAATATTCCGACTGCCTTTTAAGGTCTACGGAGCAGTAATAACATAGAAAAGTTAAATGTAGTAAAACAAAATGAAAAAAATAATTTAATAAATGAGATTTTTTGTGAATATCATCCCCACAGACGCCATATAAATTACAAGGTGATAGATTTTGCTCCCAGTAACAAATCAATTATGACAAATAAACTTCCCTCAACCGATTTGGAACAATTTCTTTGACGGATTAATTCTCCACTTACGCGTTAATAGCGCGAAACATCTCGCGCGTTTGTCCTAAACTGCCCAAAATGCCAATCTTTAAAACCCCTTATTTTTACAAAAAAAAAAATCACAGGTGATACATTTTGCTCAAATCGAAGCTCAAGGCAACAATACTTTTCTAATGATATAAAAGTTCCGTCAAATATGGCTAGTTCAAAAGTCGAATTTTGTCTGAAAAAACCACCTCGAGCAAAAATGTTCCGTTACTTTTGTTACGAAAGTCGGAACAATAAAAAATAACAGGATGCCACGAACCGAATAGATTGAAAACAAGTAGCTTTAGTTACCCTTACAAGATTGCTCGGACATAAGGGCAAAAGCCTGAAAGTTCAGACTGCCCATTAACCCATATCAAATAGTTTTTTTTGAGAAAAAAAATATTTAAAAAAACCATAAACTTTGAATCAAGGGTAAAAATTGTAATCATACAAATTTAATAAGACAAACTGAAGCAATTGTGTTGAGCGGCATTTTTCGTCCAGCTAAATCATTCGCGTTACGCGTTCAGGATTAAAAATGAAATCTTCAGGACGCGCATAAATTAGTCCAGAGCATGGCCAAATTGGCAATTTTCAAACTCCCAAAATTTTGCAAAAGATGATCCGGGAATATAAGAAATCTTTGATTTCATGGAGTCAATATCTTCAATGGGGTATAATAATTTTTTTGTCAAAAACTATAGTTTCGATCGCCAAAAGTGACTGAATAAGAAAAAATCACCCCAAGCATAAATATTCTGTTTTATAGAAAATGGGAATAGCAAGAAATTAGCGCAAGTTTTATGTTTTATAACCAGCAATTTCAGAAACTAGCAAAAAAAAATTTGTTTGCTTATTTTCGAATTTTTGCAATGTGATGTGTATAGCTCGAGTTTCAAACACAATTTTTATGCCCAAAAGTGAAAAACTTAACCACCAATCCGCAGTTTGAGGTATTGTGCTTGAAATTTTTAATTTTTTTAGGGTTTCGAACTTAGTGGCTGCTCATCTTCTGCATTATCTTTGATGACTACTGTCATGATAATTTTTGAAGTTAAAAGTTTTGACTAAAATAGCAGCAAAAACATGCTTTGATAAGTTTCGGCTTTGCCTCGACCTTGCTTTGACAAGCTGTACAGCAATTTTTTCTCAACTCTAGCTTCAACCTGAATCGTTTCATTTAATTTCAGTTTGAACGAAGCTTTCAGTATGAGCAAATTAACCTAGACCCAAAAAAGTTGCGCCATTAAAAGAAAATATGTCGAAAGCGATTAAAATTTGATGAGATTTGAAACCCAAGACTGCTTGTATCAGGTTGAAGCCCTGAATGTACCAACTACCTTTTAAGGCCTGTGGAGCAGTAATAACATGAAAAAAGTAAGTGTAATAAAAATCAAAAGAATATATTTTTAATTTGAGGTTTTTTGTGGGAAATCATCACCCTCAAACGCCATATGAAGTACACAGTGACAAATTTTGCTCCTTTAAACAAATCAGTTATAGTACATAAGCTTCCTTCAACAAATTAGGAACGATTTATATGACGGATTAAATCTGCGCCTACACGTTGATAAGGCGAAACATATCGCGCGTTAATTGTCCCAAATTGGCCAAAATGGCAATCTTTAAACCCCCATAACTTTACAAAATCAAGATCACAGAAGAAATAAGTTTTTAAATTTGAACTCAAAACAACAATATCTTTTGAAAGATAGAAAAAATTCCGTCAAAAATGGCTAGTTATAAAGTCGAAATTTGTCTGAAAAAAACCACCCCTAGCACAAATATTTTGTTTCTTTCGTAGCAAGAGAAGCAAAAAAGCTACCTAGTTTCCAAAGAGATGCAAAGGAAAAATTTTGAAACTGATTACATTTTATAGCCCAGAATTTTCATTACAAGCAAATATGAACAGCAGCTATGTAGCCATAATTTAATGCCATTAATTTTTTTTTCTCAAATTGTCTATTCAAATCGATTTAAGTTGATATCTTTTTAACTATCAGTTTTTTACCGGACCGCAGCTTCATGGGTAAAAATTGGTTGATGTGGATTTTCGTTGACATAAGTGTTGTCCAGCAAATCAGTTATTGGGGCAAACTTAGACCGCTGAATTTCAACACACCACACCAAAATTTTTGTGGGGAAAAATCCCTTAGATTCATTATAATTGAGTCTAAACCATTTTGTTTTCAAAATATTCAATTACTTTTGCTCTTAAAATCGACGAAAATTGACTAGCATTTATAGATGTGTAATTTTTACTCAAGTTATTGCAACTCGCTGCAAAGTCGAACTTAGAAAAATTACGTTATTTCGCATGATCGCAATCATTCCAACTCCATCCCATCCCCTCCTTTACGTCCCACTGACACCAGAAAACTCTCCAAACCCCCTAAGCATTTAGCACAACTCCCTCCCCGTTCACTATGGAGAATGCATAAGCGTGGGCAAGTGAATAAGTAACTTTGGGCTTGGGGGCAAATGTGGGGGTTAAGGGCAAATTGTAATCGACTGTTTTCGAAAAACATACGAAAAACCAATTTATTCAAATAAAACCCATAAAACCCCAACTGGATTTTTTTTACAGAGACCTGAAGTTAATTAATTTACTTACATCCATCTTTGCGATGCTAGTTTTGTTTTAAAAAAATACAGGCACAAAATCTCAATAACTTAGTGATTAATCATGAACTATAGAACAAACCTTGAATATTTTGAAGAAGTGTTTGGTGTTGTATATCACTGTGTAACGTATGACCCTGAGATCTACATCTCATTACGAGGTCAGACTGTGCTCTGGATAGGCGCACAGTTTTGTGTCTGTATGTTCCTGGATTCCAGAGACAAGTCTTTAAACGTGTTAAAATTTTGTCGGAGTGATCAAAGGAAAGTAAAAAACAAAAGAAGAAAAAAGGGAGCGTCCTTGTTGCGGAATCCACTTACAACGCACAAAATGCACAGTTGGCCTCGTAATGCTGAAACAGATTAGAGAAAAGGTTCATTCCGATACAGTGCTGATGTAAATTAACAGGACTGAACAAACAACATTTCAAATTTTAGTTGTGTATTTCTTGAACTGGGTTAAGATAAGTTAAAAATGAAAAAGAACAAAAAATGTTTGCAATTTCATAAAAACTATTATAGTGCAGTCATTTTGCGAAATTTGAAATCAAAGTTTTAACCTAAATGGGCCATAAAGCTTTTTCGTCAATCAAGAATTAGGCTATCACTGAAAAAATATATAAAAAAAACTTATTACACCGTTCAAAAAATCTACTAAGATGAAATATCCAAAAACCTGTATAAAGTAATAATTTTCTGCGCTTGATACCCAAAAAAGATCATTTTTTTAATATAAAACTCACAATCATTGCTTAAAAACAAATTTGAAGCGTTTTAGTCAAGTTTTTGGACACTTTACCCTCCTAAAACGTTGTTGAACTGAGTTTACTCTTAAGCAATTTTTGATTTGTTCACTTTTTTCTAACTTTAAACCAATTTGAGACAAATATTGTTGAAATTTTGTGTTTGTTTTGTCTGGTTAATTTAAATCAGCCAAAAATTCGTACCAACAAAATTAATAAAAAAGTGCAATCATTCCAATTCGACTGACTTTTGCAGGGTGTTTCATTTTTTTAGGCAGCTTTGAGGCATATATTTGGTTCATAACTTAGAAGGTTTTCCCAAAATAGATCAATTGCTCTTTGTAAACAGTTTTGTCAGTTTGAACTTTCTCCTACTAATTATATAACTTTTAACAAATTCATTGGGCAACGTCCTAAAATTTTGAAATAAGTCTGACCTTGAGAGCTTGAAAAGGCGTTGAAATAGCAATAGAATTGTCAAAACTGTATTATGGTGTCCAAAAATCAAAGCAAAAGGAATGCTTTTTTTGGAGACGATCATTTTTGCCTAATTTCAAGGCAACAAATGACAAAAAACTTATTCAGCAACGATCTACCAGGCACTTTTTCCGAGAAAAACGAATAACACGCCGGCAAAAGTTCCGAAACTTCAAAAGAGCAGTTTTGATTTAGTTTAAGCTTGAAGATCAGAATCATTTCAAAAAATTATAAATTTGTCCCATAAATTGCTAAAACTATACAGTGAGCCATGCAATATTTTAGAAAAAAAAAACGAAAAGGGGAAACCTGGAACTTCAAAAATTAGTTTCGAAATATTTTTTGCATGAAGGTCAGATTTTTTTTTCAAAATTTTAAAACGTACGATACGTTTTTAAAACCAAGTAGTCTGCAGATGTTTTACGCGTGAGCGAGAACTTCAACATTCTACATTTTTCTTCACTCTACTTTACTTTTCTTACGAATAAAATACTTAACAAACACTAAAGACACTGTTTTCTTGCTCTTTCACCATGCTATCAGTTGTAAACAACAATTTTATGGTCAACAATATTATAACAATTTACAACATAATTGTTATAAACAACAATTATGTTGTAAATTGAATTTAGATCTTTTTAAAAGTGCTGTGATTTTTGTTGTTTGTCATTGTTAATTAACTTGACTGTTTTTGTTAAGTTATCATGACAATTTGACTACGTGAACGAAAGATAAAAATTGCAGCCGGGCGACAAACGGTAGAGGAGACTTCCCTAGTTGACAAAGATTATCAATCTTCTAAGATCTTGTAAGATTCTTGCAGAAGTGACCTATTTTGTAAGATCTTGTATGTGGCGGGCTATCTTGTAAGATCTTGCAAGATTCTTACAAAATCTTACAAGGTACACTATCAGTTTTCCGACCGAGCTATCTTGTAAGTTCTTGTAAGAATCTTGCAAGAATCTTGCATTAATGATTGATTATTTATGGGCTATCCTGTAAGATCTTGCAAGAATCTTTCAAGAGTCCGTCAATAGAATGCAGTTTTCTGCCAGATCTTGCAGGATCTTTCAAGATTGGCCGTTTTCGTCAACTAGGGTTAATCCTTCATTTTGTGAAATTTTGAATTATTTGCCCACCATGGGTTCTTGTAACAATTTTCAGTTCTTATTGAGGAGTAGTTGCCCGGCTAATCATTTTCACACTTTGCACCTGGTAATAAATTCCACTTTGCAATAGTAATTGGCGAAATAGTTGAAGAGATCTCTTTTTGTTTATAGAAGTCGATCCTGACCTTGCAGCAACCAGTGAAGTCCCCCTCAGTCATTATCGCGAACACGAAGAGTGGGAGCTCATACGACCCGTCGAATTCTTCAAAGAAGACGAAGAAGACCACGAAGAAATATTGACCATAATCAAAATCAAACGTCGTCACGTTTTCTACTCCCTCGTATTTATGCTACCCCTCGCGATTCTGTATGCATTCTCGGGTTTTGTATTTCTGGTTCCAGTGGACTCGGGTGAGAAAATATCGTTCGCTCTGACGTTACTGCTGGCTCAAACTGTAGCTTGCGGAACTGTTGCCGACTTTCTACCTGCTAGCTCACTCCATGTTCCGAAGATTGCGTATTTTCTGGTTATAACTGTGTTCCAAATTGCCGCAAACTCGCTGCTTACTGTTCTAGGTAACCAATTTATTTATTTACTAATTTTAAACTAGCCTGAAAAAATTTTACTAGCCTTTTGAAAATTTTTTACACATGCACTTTTTTCGGACAAATCTGAAGCGCAAACGAAGGTGTTTTAAAAAACAATTAGTTGTGAGTAGTATAGTAAAAGTGGCTAGGAAAATGACGACTTTTAACCCCCCCCCCCCCCCCCCCAAAAATTCAGTGTGCCGTTGTACTTACCACTTTTAACCCCCAAAGGGGTTAAAGCCTCTACTTTTTCAGGCACGCATAATTTAAGGGGGGTTAAAATTGGTAATTTTCCAGCCACTTTATGGAAATGGGATGGAATTAAGTTTTGGTTGGTGCATGTTTTCCCTTTGACTTTGACAGTTCAAACTTTACTGCGCGCGTTATATTGTGGATTATTTTGTAATCTTTATCGCCACGTGTGGAATTAAATAAAATGCTGTGATATTGGTAAGTTTATATTGTTGTTTTGAATACCCCCCTCCCCCTCACGATTAGAGTTGTTGATTATTTCACTTTTCGGTCAAAAGAACAATTTTGAAAAGCTTTATTTCCTGAATGAAAAGTACTATAAAGCGAATCATTTACATTTATAATCAGAAGTTATTTAGTCAGAATCGTCTAATATAAAAGCACGTCGATTTAAGCACCGCCGTTTAGGTGGTCTAATTTCTTCCCGCTCGTTTTCTTCTCGAGCTTCAATGTCCAAATAGGGGCAGTTGTACGCTGCTGGTTCTGACTCATTTTGCCCACTTAGCTGGTCGAAATCTACCAAATCCTGTTCTAGCTCTTGATCAGTGTATGTGGGTTGGTTGAACCCCATATCTGGTAGAGTAAAAATATCCACATAATACCCGCCCTGCGCTTCTATAGCTTCAGCCAAATCCTCCCCACTTCCGTTATCGGTGGGAGTGGGGACCACGGCGTCGTCTACGTCGTATTCGCCCCAGTCCATGGTGCGCTTAATTTCTCTTATGAACATATCCTCACGTAAACGTTTATGTCCGAAAGGACTAGTAGTTACTCTGTCTGCATGTATATAGCGCTTATTGTCAAATGCGCTCAGGGAAATTTTATTCGTTATTATGGTTTGTAAATTGTGATTGCAAGAATTTATCCTCACATTTTCTGACCGGACCAGCGAACAGTAAGTCAATGTTTGTTTAAACTTATTATGGGTTAGCTCCATTTTCGAATATTTAGAAATACCTTTCGCGCTTTTTTTGTCCATGTCTGAAACAAAAATACAATCAATTTACTTCAAATTTTTACAGTTTTTTCTCTTTTCCACATAAATACCTCCATTCCCCCCCCCCCCAACCCTCACTACATAATCTTATGATTTGTTTTTGTTGCCCTTTTCTAAAATGGTAATTGCAAAATGGTAAAAGAAAAGAAAAAGAAACTTACTCGAAGAAATAATGCTGTACAGTTTGGGTTTTAGTCCGACGTACTCCTGTATGATCTCCCCAGCAAACTCGTCCTTGAATTTCAGGGTAACGCGCAAATTCTGGTTGGTGTAGAGGGGGTGGGTGGCTGGTAGATTTGAAAAGTCAAAATGATTTCGCAGTTCATGGTTTTTCTCAATTTCATTGTAGAGATCTTTGCTGCGGATTTCATACAGGAACGAATCAGTGTCCGAATATAAAAGAGTTGCGTCAAAATTTTTCTTGATTATGTTGTAATGGAACTGGAACATGTAAAATTTTGCCAAATCTAGTATCGTTGCACCAACAATTGTGGGCTTATCCCATTTAATGTTCACAGGTTTTGAGGTTACAGATACCAAGTGTTGGTCAATAATTTTTATACTGCTAAATCTTTTTTTCCTTGATAAATTTTGCAGTTCTTCAGCATTGCGAACAATATCTACAATAAGTCGATTCCTTTTTGATTCGCAGAATTTTCCAAACGCACTATTTATTATTTGCTTGAAGAAATCTTGTTCAAACTTGGTAGTAGCTTTTTTTCGGAGCTCAGTGTTCAACTGAACATATGGTGCAATAAATTTTTCTTGTCTAAACTGCAGTACTCGATTAACTTTTTCAATTTTCAAACCAAGTTAGGTATTGTACAGTATAGTTTTTCTTTGGCGTAGTGCCCACTTTATCCGAAATGTTCATTTTTTTCAACATGTCCAATTGAAGCTCACTGAGCCACATTTTGGACACAACTTCTTTTGTTGGGGCGAGTGGGTAATCCGAATGTGCATCATGCAAATGATCGGGGTATAAAAGATCGACGTCCAAAATGTATTCAATTTCGGATTCTCTGCTCGTGTTGAGAATTTCGGCTATAGTAACTTGGTCATTAAACTCGAATGAGTTAAGTGGAAGAGGAAATTTTTCCATAATCCCGCCATATAAATTGTTCGCGTCTATCATGAAGAGGAAAGTGTTAGGCTGTTTAGGGTCGTAATTTTTCACAAATTTATTGTTGGCGGAAACAAGTCTTTTTTCAAACACACTTGCAATGCCCCCCCTGATCAGGTTTTCTGCCATATCCAAGTGCTCCCTATTAGTGAGCAAATGGAGGTCAGCCTTGCATGTTCGCAAAAATGCATCCCCTGAGAGATTGCTAACCGTGAAATATTGAGCACAGTCTAGCTTATATGTTTCATAACACACTCGTCTAAACTCTTCAAAAATGCATGCAAGAATCAAGGTATCAGTTGTTAGATACAAATCGCTGTATTCGCCCAAAGTCTGACAACCGAAACGAGTGTACACTAACCATGCATGTTGGTATTCTTTTTCACTGACACTAACAACACCTCCTTGCAGCGTGTTGGTCCACTTGTCGCGTGCAGGTAGTCCATCTTCTGTGTATCTTGCATGGCTGTCAACATACGAGTAGGGGAAGTAACCTTTTTGTCGAATCAATGCTTTATCTTCTTCCGGTCGGGTAGCAAAGTGGTTATTGAGATATATGAACTTTTCCACGGGTAGATTTCGAGCTAGCTCATCGAGTGAGCTGTTCATAAATTTACAACTGTCCACAAAACGGATTTCTTCGTAGACATGTTGGACATTTCCTTTTTCGTTAGTGTACGATCTAATCCACACTTTCATTGTAAGTGAAATAAATTTTTCGTCATTGAGAGGAATGACCGAAAAGGTGTTTCTGGTATTGGTATCTTGCAGACTCTTCAGTACATGGTGCAAATCATAGTTCTGGAGATTGTGGGCAAAGACAGGGGTGAATTGTATGGTACGTCTCAGGAAGTTGCATTTGTTGTGAGCCCATCCGAGGAATGATTCATCGAAATGATTATGGTCCAAAACTTTCGCGTTAGTTTCGGAGAATTCCTCTTCGCAAATCCAGCATTTGTCACTGTCTTCAAGAATAGTGGTGCTTCCGAGGTAGTTCGGGTATCGTCGTTTTTTATTATGAAAGTCACGCGCCAATACTTCCAGCATTCGAACGAATTTAGTCATGGCGTCCACTCCTCGATGAAGTGAAAAAAACGCCGGTTTCGGGTTTCCAGCTTCCACAACGACAAGGCAAAAACTGCTGGGCTTATGTTTTTCAATCACGGTTGTGCTCGAGCAGGTAGGATTATTTCTCACCGTCTCCACCTTCTCCAGCACAGACTCCAAATCAAAGTAAACCGCGAATGGGCTATAGCTTCGAGCACCGATGTTTTTGAAGCCTACGCTGCTCTTGCCAACATTTGGCATGGTAACGATTGCTGGTTCGTTCCCCATGCAGATTAACTGGTGGCGCTCAAGTCGTTCCTCAGATGAACACCGGTGGAAGCAATTTCGGCACAGCATGTTTCTCGATCTCAGTTTTCTTTTTTGCATTTTGCTCACTAGCTTGTTCAGGTCTTTTATCACGACGTAGTGATGCGTGCCCATATCGTTTAGAAGCAGCAAATCCACAACAAAATTAGTCTGATATTTTGACACTCTCACGGGTAGAAGAGTCTTTTCATTGTACCTAGAGAAAAATTTTGAATGATATTTTTATACTAATTTTTAATGTCATCATAAAAATAATTCTTCAACGAATGTGCAGCCAACCATTTGTTCTGATGTGCTTAGATACAGCTTCACACCAATAAAAAAAAAGATTTGATTAAAACTTCAACTAACCTGAACACATTCACTTGCACTTTATTCAAAATTTCGAAGCGTGCAATAGCCGGTAGTCCCATTGGGTACACAAAATCACCAGTTGGCTCGTGCGCTCTTGAGTTTCTGCGATAATCATAGAAGCTCGCTTTCTCCTCCTCTCTACTCTGCATCGTACGAAGAGTGATCGGGATATTGTTCTGCCGATGATACTCAGCAACGAAGCAGTACTCAAAGCATCGATCGTCTTCATAATTGCGAATATTCAACAAGAAGCGTTTGAGTTTCAGTAGATCGGCTGGTAGTGGTAAGTACGATGAACCCCTGATCGGTGCAGACTTCACCATTTTTAGGACAATCTTATCAATCCTGCGGATTCTCCAGCCACTACCATGAGACGCATATTGATGGACAGTAGACAATATTTGGTCTACGCAATCATAGAATTGGTCCTGGGTCCATCCTTGAACGTCTACAGCAAGCATTTTGCAATTGGCGAAGATGGTTATTACTTCTTCTGTGCCATCTGCCTTCTCTTTTTCAAGAGTTACTTCTGCCGACAATTGAGCTTTCTGAGGCTCATACATAGTATTTTGAAGTATCAGCTCTTCGATTTCGTCTCTCTTGGTCACGAACAGCGCTAGTAGGTCCACTTCCGTTTCCATCGGCACTATATCGTATGCCCTGACTGCTCCATCAAAAGCTGTCTCAGGCTGTATAGAAGTGAGGATTTCTCGGCTCACATCCCATGCTGGCAGACCGTGTTCGTTTAGCATATGCGCAGCATATGCGCGATCATTTTGGAACACATTCATGTCGTAGAGACAAATTCTTCTTTCTTCCGTTTCATCGATTGTTTTGTGACGCTCCACGACATGTTCCCAAATGACGCGAAGTGACTTATCCTCTAGTTCACAGTGACCACAGATGTAGTCGGTTTTCACAGG